CAGGAATGCATACCCAGCAAGGTTAAGCACTTTTGAGAGTGCCTCATGAGCCTTCTGTTCCTGTTCAGGGGAAGATTCAAACACATTGATGTAATGGTTCTGATGATAGGTTGTGTAATGGAGAGAGGATTATGAATATTTTGTGAATGGTACCTTTAGCAACAAAGGGATATGCCAAATGTTGGGAACATCATAGAGAGTGAAGATATTCTGAGTCTGAAACAAGAACACACCTATAAGTAAAAAAAACAAGATTTGAAAGTAAAGAACCAAACAATTAAGGGAGGTGAAAAGAGATTATTTTCGAGCCATACCGGACAATGGCAAAACTGAGATAGTTTGGCTTTCACATTCTCGTCGAGTGCCTAATGAAGAAAAGATCGGTTTAGCATCAGACCCGGGAGAGAACATACAAGAGTTGAAGCCGAGAAAGTAAGAAGGAAGTGAACCTTGGTACTCCGACAAGCCAAGATATTCGGTGTCAAACCCAATCCACGTAGCCCACGAACACTATGCTGAGTAGGTTTCGTTTTCTGAAAGAATGAAATGGATTTAGCTAATTTAAAAGGAAGACAAGCTGATCAAATCAAGTGTATAGACACACGTAAAAAATCCCACCAGAACTTGTTTTCTTGGAAATGTACCTGTTCACCGACAACATTGAGCACAGGCACGAGACTGACGTGGATCAAACAAAAGTTTCCAGGGCCTGAAGTTAAACCGCCAACAAAGAGCGAGCAGTTAATAGCATATCCCAAAAGTGAAGAAACCCTTTTGTTTTTCCTTCTTTCTCTTGCTCTTTTTTCTTACCTACACGGTAGGAGAATTGGCCAAGGGCCTCGATAAAGGGCATGGACTCGATATCTCCTGCAAACACAAGACTCTGAGATGAGATAGCGGGAAAAATAAAGACCGAGGACACATCAATGTCGTTGTAGAGTTTTCTTTCTTATGTACCGATAGTTCCGCCCAACTCGATGACACACACATCGGCAGGACCTTCCTCGCCGTCCACGGGAATCTTTGCAACCCTCTCAATCCATTCTTGGATTGCATCAGTGATGTGAGGAACAACCTAATTGATGCAACCAACTTATTATTATTATTATTATTGTAATTATTACAAGCGATTAAGACCAAAAGATTAATTTAAAGTGGTCTTTCAAGCTTATGCAGCACTGACTCAGCACCAAAAATGTGAAAAAGACCATAAGGTACGACACTTCCTTCCTACCTGAACAGTCTTTCCCAAATAATCTCCTTTCCTCTCTTTATCAAGAACGTACTGTGACAACAAAGAAGAGAGATTCAGTGAGTTGGTGTATGGCTAATATACCTAACAACTTGCAGGTAGCTGAGATCTAGATTATCCAAGAACACCCGAGCAGTGAATTCAACTGACTTGCCTGGTAAATCTTCCCGGTGGTAATATTGTTATCGCGGGTCAGTTTGATATCTAGAAACCTCTCGTAGTTTCCGAGATCAAGATCCACCTTACAATAAACACAAACCCATCAAGATCTTTGAGCTGAATCTTTCCAAAACCAGACAGGGAAAAAAAAGAAGTTTAAGATTTCTCTAAAAGTACCTCACCACCATCGTCCAAGACAAACACTTCACCATGCTCGAAAGGGGACATGGTTCCAGCATCTGTGTTCAGATAAGGATCTGGAAGCGGGAGTTCATTCAAAAAAAAATACAAGATTTTGAGTGATTGTAAGTAAAGCCAAGATGAAAACAAAAGGGAAAAAAAGGAAGAAAAATATACCGATTTTGATGGAAGTAACGCGAAGACCACAGGCCTTAAGAAGGACTCCGATACTGCTTGCGGTCACTCCTTTGCCCAATCCACTCACTACACCTCCCGTTACAAGCACGTACTTCATCTTCCTTGTTCCCAAGTTTAGACCTTTTCTTATTCAAATAATCCTGCAACACAAAAATAACTGACCCATATGCTCAAAAGAGTAACTTGAAGTACGGACAGAAAGAAGCAGTAGAATGGCATAAACAGAGCAGAAACAAGAAACCAGAAGCCTAAGCAGAAGACTTGAGATGGAAGTATTGACATTGAGTGTCTTAAATTACAGATGAAGGGGAAATTCCGAGGACCGGAGACTCGAGACCAGAAGTGTAATCAGAAGCTTGGGAGTGAAACAATCAGCATCAGATATTTGCAGATTTTGGATCAATATCTCCTTCCCGAAGCAACAACACAAACGCAAAAGCAAAAAACGGCACCATAGCAAGAGAAAAGCACAAACTACACTGAGAACGAGCGAGAGCTCCGCCATTTTTTTGCCCTCAGGAAAACCCAACAAGCAGATTCAGAAGAAGCAGAAGAGTTTTTTTTTTTTTTTTTGGTTTGAAGAAGAAGAAGAGTTGTAGAGACGGAGACAGAGAAGAGAGCAGGCGAAACGCGACGCAGTACCTGGTAGAAACCGGCGATTGCGTTTCCCCGGAATCTTCGATCTCAAAACCTGGTTTCTGGGTTTTGGATAAGGGAAGCGAAAAGAGCGTGAAAGCGACTGGAAGAGGGAAAATTTCTCTGAGCGAAACGAGAGAGAGAGAGAGAGAGAGAGAGAGAGAGAGAGAGAGAGGGAGGGAGAAGGGTTTTAGGTTCACGCCATCCGCGGCTGGGCTTTTATATAAAAGAAGCAGTAAGCTTCTCCCTCCCCCCAACAAAAACCCAATAAAACCTCCACCTATATTATTTTATATTTTCAAAGAAATCATAAAATACGGTCGTATCCTTTTATATATATAGTTTACACTCATACATTATTAAGAAGAAGAAAAAAAGAGTACATAACATTACTATAAGGGCACTGTTGTACGAGCACACAGGAATATTTAAATATTTGGATGAGCAGAAACAAAAGGTTTTTTAATTTATTTACTCTGAAATTCAATTTTTTATTGATAAAAAAAATGCTAAAATTTTGGATGTTTTTCTTTTCTTTTTTTTTTTTTGTAATTTTTCCAGATAATTAAGATTACGTGAACAAATAATTAAGATTACGATGCCGACCCATATTTATGTAAATTCTTTAGAAAACGTGATTTTCCTAATTCTATCAAAGACAACAAAAAAATGTAGTGAAATTTCGTATTTCAGTTTAAATAACATATTTAAAAATATGATATGATATAATTACTCGAGGTAGAATATCATTAGAGAATCTTTATGATATTTTATTTAATAAAATGAATATTTGAAACGTAGATATAAAATCAAATATAAATATTATGTAATATATCGTAATCTTTTTTAATATTTTATAGTAAGAATGAAATTTGAAAAAATTGTTATAATTGAAACTAGAATATAGGTTAATGATAAAATATTATTGAGAAAGTTTAATGAAGAAACTAGGTAAATTAGAACTTAAGTCGAAAAGGTTTTGTTTAGGGGTCATTATTAAAAAAATATCAATATTTATGGGTTATTAGTTGAATGATATCGTTATTAATATAATGGGAGGTGTATGGATTGTGGGATGAGTGAAATCCATTAACCCACCGTTAATTTTTTAGATATCATAATCGAAATAGAATCTCAATGATTAATTTAAATCCATGAAGATGAAAAAGTATGAGTTTATTGACATTTTTTTATTAATTTACTATATCTTCAAGTTTTTTTTTGGTAAGGGAAGAAACGAATATGATCCTTTGGTCTAAAGTAAATCCATCGGTCTCACACAATAACAATAACCTGTAAATCACGTAAAACAGTTAAATCAACTGAAACTAATAGGTTAAGGAGAAATTCATGCTCTGAATGGTTGAATGTGTAACCTCCAACTAAAAAGCATGTGTCTCAACCAATAGAATTGAGGGCTTCCCCATCTCCGACCAAGTTAATCGGGGGATATATCTAAAATACCTTTCGGATGCTATATCTACTTCCACTACTACCCTCTAAACAAAAAATTGAAAAAAAAAGAGAGTTGAATATGCCAAAAGACAATAAAATCCTTACATATTAATCAAAAGACAAAAAAAACCCTCTATTTTTTCAATTTAAAAAATTTATATTAAAAAAAAAGTAAAGTTACGCAACCTTCTTCTTCTTCTCCCCCTCTCTCTCTCTCTAACTTTACTCTTCTTCTTCTTCTCCTCTCTCTCCTCCTAAAATTTTCTCCTCTCTCTCCTAAACTCTCACGATTTCAGCTCTCTCATTCTCTTTCAAAACTTCTAATCTTTTGCATTTTGTGCCGATTTCTCTCCAAAAAATCTATTTTCTATTTAAATCTTCGATTAGATTCAAGATTCGAAGAAAAAAACTGACGAGAGAGAAGAACATGGCTTTAAAATCATCTCGTTACTCATCTTCATCACAATCTTCGACCGAGAATGAAAACCGTATGGAGATTGTAGGGCTAGACAAAAATATGGTAGGTTAAACTTCAATTTTTTTCAGATTTGTTGGACTTTCAAATTATTGTTGTTGAATTGAAGTGTGATTTTGAGATTTGACCGATAGAAATTTGGGATTTTGGGTTTTTCAAATTTTTGGGGATTTTGACATAAAATATTGGGTTTGAAGTGAATTAATCAATTGAGTCATATGGTCATAGGGTTACAGTGTCATATAGGTCACATTGTGGTATGGTCACAGGGTCACATCTTCATATAGATTACAGGATTACAGGTCATATGGTGGTATGGTCACAAAGTCATATCTTCATATACGTCACAGGGTCACAAGTCACATGGTACCATGTCACACGGTCACATGGTACCATGGCACATGGTCACATGGATTTTGAAACATGATCCAGAATGCTAACATATATTTTTTTGTAGCGCATTGAGGAGACCATGTATGAGATACGACTCTGCGTTTTATAGAATTCGGTGACTTATATAGGAAGTAATTACATGGTTAGTGACACTATTTTCACAGAGCACATCAAGTGGTGGGAAAAATCGGGCGACTTGCCAATTTTGGGCGATCTCGGACCCTACTCCAAAGGATATATTCCATTTGGATGTGCAGAAACATCGTTGACTAACTTTTATTTCAGCTAGAAATGACTAACTTTTATTTCAGCTAATAATTTATCTCTTTTTGTTATGAACATTAAGTATAACCTTCTTTTGTTTGTTTATTAGAATACTAAGTTATAATTTTTTTATGCTTTTTGTTTATTTATATATGAAACTATTTATAGAGTCAACAGAATATAGGTTGAAAATAGTAAACAAATAGATCCCACCGAAACTCTAAATTGTCAACCGTAACTTTTCTACACACTTGGATGATACTAGACTCCACCAGAAATATTGCATGTAAAAATTTTGAAGAAAAAATTGTTAGAGAACAAAATTTGGATTTAGGTGTTCTAAACTCAAACTATTATCATGTTCACATAGTCACATGGTCGTTCGACAAAGTCTTCTAAGAATAAGAAAAAGGAAAAAGGTCTAATAAATGAAGAAGAAGTAGAAGATGGACGAGCAAAAGAAGACGAAGAACAACAAGGACAACAAGAACAACAATTATATGTGATGACAATGTCACCAAGATGCGTGAGCAGTTGACAGCCGTCATATTTGTCAATAGAAATATTTAAAAATAGAATTAAGAACTTATTTATGTTATGAACTTATTTCTTTTTGTTATGACATTTTGTTTATTTATTATAAAACTATAGAATTTTATGTTATGATATTATGTTTTATGTTTATTTTATATTTGAACATATGAAGTGAAAAATATTGGAAGGTAAAAAATTTGGGTTGAAAAATTTTGGAGGAAAAAAAAATGGGTCAAAAAATATGGGTTGAAATGTTGTGTCCCGCCAAAATTAGTGTTGAATTGTCAACCGTAACTTTTTTGCACACTTGGATTACACTGTGCCCCACCAGAAATATTACATGTTCAAATTGGGACCCACAATATTTCGGTCACAATGGGTCACAGCTGGTCACAAGGTCGATTTAGTGGATTCTTTCAAATGAATCGATCTGATTGTTATCACATCTTTCATATGCACCATTTTGAACTATATTTAACTATAGTAATTGAGTTATTCAAATTTTGTGTGCAAAAGTAGTTCTAAAAAATGTGATACATTAGTGTTCATAGTCTTTTATGAAGAATTTTGATAATTTTGGTCTTTTTGTATTACAAACTCGTTTTAACGTTTTGTAATTTTGTCATCAACATAATATTTGGGTTCCTTATACCTTATAATAACAGACCAAAGCTTGGAAATTACGTTTTTACCTGTATTTACCTTCGTCACTTGGTCACAGGTCACATCCGAAATCCTTACATATTAATCAAAAGACAAAAAAAACCCTCTATTTTTTCAATTTAAAAAATTTATATTAAAAAAAATGTAAAGTTACGCAACCTTCTTCTTCTTCTCCCCCTCTCTCTCTCTCTAACTTTACTCTTCTTCTTCTTCTCCTCTCTCTCCTCCTAAAATTTTCTCCTCTCTCTCCTAAACTCTCACGATTTCAGCTCTCTCATTCTCTTTCAAAACTTCTAATCTTTTGCATTTTGTGCCGATTTCTCTCCAAAAAATCTATTTTCTATTTAAATCTTCGATTAGATTCAAGATTCGAAGAAAAAAACTGACGAGAGAGAATAATGAAAAAGAATGGAGAATATGAATGAGAAGGAAAGGTGATGAAAAACCAAAGAGTGTTGCAAGTTATTGGATCCGGCTGCAATTGGAAGTTGCGTACGACATTGATCTTACACTCGAAACGTTGGAGTGTAAGAAAATACAATCTCATGCATAGTTGCAAACTCGTATCAGAATCTAGCAAAGGTATGAATGGTACAAAGAAATTGGAAGACAAACAAAAAAGTGAGAGACCTAAACAAAACTGCTTTTCAGGTCTTATTAAAATTCAAAAGTGGATCTATGTCACAACAGAACCAATTTCTTTGTACCATTCATACCTTTGCTAGATTCTGATACGAGTTTGCAACTATGCATGAGATTGTATTTTCTTACACTCCAACGTTTCGAGTGTAAGATCAATGTCGTACGCAACTTCCAATTGCAGCCGGATCCAATAACTTGCAACACTCTTTGGTTTTTCATCACCTTTCCTTCTCATTCATATTCTCCATTCT